GAATTAAGTGCTGGAGTCAAGAGGTTCAAGCCTGGCCCTTAGCTATCTTATAAGCAGGATATCATTGTTACTTATTATTCAATATCTGGCTGTTATTAATAAGAGCTTGATAGGAATTATGTCATTTAATGGCCGTAACTCTTCAGGAAACTTGCAACAATTCACACAGCAAGGAAGAGGCGGAATCAGGATTTGGACCGAAGCATTCTGCCCCAAGAATTCTTAACTATCCCACACATATCAACTTCTTCTATTTTATTTATAATTCATTTATTCTTATTTTATGTACATTGGTGTTTTGCCTGCACGCATGTCTGTGTGAGCTGTGTGAGGGTGTCAGATCTTGGAGTTGCAGACAGTTATTAGCTGCCATGTGGGTGCTGGGAATTGAACCTGGGTCTTCTGGAAGAGCAGTTAGTGCTCTTAACCACTGAGCTATCTTTCCAATCACACATATCAACTTCTTAACTATCCCTTATCTTATTTGAACCTTAGGAAAGCCACATCTTCTGAGCTCGGTTTTCTTTACCAGTGAAGATTCTCCCATCCACAATGTGCCCGGCAGCTTGAAAGATGTTAACTGGACTCTTAACTCAAAGGTTTCAGATACACAGGAATAGCTTGCTTGGTTAGCTCACACACAACTAGTAGGTGGCGGGTTTCTTTTTCTCTCAGTACTTGTTAAATTTGAGGATGTGTGGATGTTCACAAGTATGTCCGCAGGCAGCTGCCATTTGGGCCCTCTTCTTAGAGAAACACTGTAGAAACTTCATGGACTCTGTGACATCCTTATGGATCTATACGCAAATAGGATTCTTGAATTCAGGCAGGGTGATTGTTTGCAGGGTAGCCATCCAGATTATTGTAAATGTGTTCATACTGTTTCTTTTCCATCAAAGTGAAAACTCGTAAATTAAAAATGTGTAAATCATGGAGACGTGGGAATACGCAAGCCATGTCAGGACCTCTATAGGCTAAAATGCATACAGACTTTGTTCCTGGTTGGCCAAGGAAGCTAGCTCTCCTCCCTTCTCTCAGTGCGTGTAACCCACCATAGCCTGGTAAGGCAGCTGTATTAAGTTGTCCATATCTCCACAGTTAGGGATGGGGGTTCATGAACCTCTTTCCACTTCATAACACAACTGTTGGTGGTGGTTTTTGCTCTTTTAGGGGGCCTGCCACCCAGCTCCCAAATAAATCACACATGGAGGCTTATTCTTAATTATGATTGCCCATCCTTAGCTTGGCTTATTTCTTGCCAACTTTCCTTAACTTAAATTATCCCATCTACCTTTTGCTTCTGGACTTTTCCTGTTCTCTTACTTCTATAAATCTTACTCCGTAGCTTGCTGTGTAGCTGGGTGGATGGCCCCTGGAGTTCTCCTCCTTCTCTGGCTACTTCCTCCTTCCTCCTTTCTCCTTCTCCTCTCCTCCCAAATTTCTCCTTCTATTCATCCTCTCTGCCTGCCAGCCCCACCTATCTCTTTCTCCTGCCTTGCTATTGGCCATTCAGCTCTTTATTAGACCATCAGGTGTTTTACACAGGCACAGTAACACAGCTTCACAGAGTTAAACAAATGCACCATAAACAAAAGTAACACACTTTAAAATAATATTCCCCAACACACGGCTTTTCACATGATCAAAATAATAGTTTTCCTTCTCATCAGGACATGTTTTTTATATGAGCTCCACAGGGGAAGTGCCATTGGTTGTCAATGTGAGTGTTTTATTACTGTAGAGCTTGGCAGAATTTGGGACTGTGCTTTGGGTTTAGTGTGGGGGCATTGCACACACTGTGACAGCCAGATCAGTAGCTCTGAGCTTCAGTCTTCATGTGTGAAATAAATCTGAGTAACCAACACTTACAATTGGGAAAAATAATTGTAAAAATGAAGTCAGTTATGTCATGACTAAAAATGGTCCCTGTCATCTTCATCCTTCAATAAATTGAGCTGTAGATGATTTCTTCTTATTATTATTAAGTTTTTCTTTTTCTGCACAGGAATCTATGTCAGGGAGATCCTTATACCTTGGATAGCAGCACAGCCTAGTTTTCAAGACCTTTTGGTTCTGAGCTATGGGCATGTTAGTCCATTAAGCAATGTTGCTCAGGATTCAGGCCAACAGGTGTGGGTCTGACATGGGTCTAGCCCAGGCCCCATCTCTTAGCATTCATCTCTGGATCCTCTCTCAACATCTCTGGGTCTCACTTTTCTTCTTTGTATAGCTTTGGTCTTTTTGGTTGCCTGGCATGGCCTGCCAAGCTTCAGTGATTGTGAAAGGAACAGGTAGGCAGTGTCCTTACAAGAGTCAAGAGTGTGTGTTCACAAAGCAGGGAGAGCAAATAAGGAATCTTCTAGGCCTTGGAGTCTTCTAGGTGTCCCCAACAAAGAAAATAAAAGAAGAAAATACTTTAGCAGTTCAGAGCTCTGCATGTATGATCATCAACACAACACACTCTTCACTCTAAGAGCCACTGAGGGGAAGATAGATCTGGAACAGTGTTAGCTGTGCATGTTGAGCCTCTGAAATGTCCCACTCCCGTGCTTTGTGCTTCCTTCTCTGTGCAGTGATACTGTGAGGAATACATCGTGCCCTTGGCTGCACAAGAGAAAGGAAAGGCATAGTCAGGTGGAACAATTCACCAACTATCACATCGTCAGTGACTGGCAGAGCCTGACGGGATGCTGAGTCTGTCAGGATCCACTGGAAGTCTTAGTCAGCCTGTTGCACAGCACAGTACTCTAGATAATGAGATGCACAAACACAGGGCGGTCTGAGAGAAGCTTCAAGGGTAAATCTCATAAAGTGGAAAATAACATACGACTGAGGGCGACAACTTTCTATGTAGAACCTGATTGCTTATTGTTGCCTGGGCCACAGCACCATATTTCTTCTCTCCCCTGAGTCACTGATGGGAAACATCAGTCATCTCGCTCTCTTGCCTGCCCCCTTTTTATCAGTTGTCATGAGCTGTTGATGGCATTTCAGTTACTGATGAGTCATATATATGACACAGTACTCCCACAGATTAGACTGAAACTGGAAAATTCTCGTTTCCTGATGGCCTTGTATTTCCTGTGTGTGATAGTGTTCACTGCATTCTGCACAGGATTTTAGCCGAGTCAATGGCTGTATCATAGAACTTGGAGTGTTGTGGGGGACACGCTCTAGCTTATATGGATGCCCTCTATGATGTTTGTACAATGATTGCATCGCTTAATGTTACATTTTCCAGGATGACTCTTGTCATTAAGCAAAGTCTGATTATACTCTCAACAGAGCATCCAGCCAGAGGAAGCCTATTTCAAGGTCATTCGGACCATTGCTTTGCTCAAACTCTTCCTGGGCAGTAAAAAGCCAAAGAATACCACAGGGATCTTCAAGGTTGCCTCACGCCAACATTAGTCCTGGATATCTTGCAGACAGCTACTCCTTCCACTTCTCCTTTTCCTTCTGTTCCCTTGCTGTACCCCAATCCTTGCTGTTCTTCCAAATTCCAGCCAAGATCTAGCTTAGGAACATTTGCATAAATCTGCACAACAGCATGATCTGAATACTGCAGGGCATGGCATTGTAGCACAATAGTGAGTACATTCATTGTCCCTAGGCAATGGGAGGAATGCTCAGCTGCTTATAGGACCGCCAACACCATATGTGTGGTCTCCTCCTCTACCTGAAATGGCTTCCTTCCAGTAGTTGCTAAAATTACTTCCCAGTGGGAGACATAGCAATGTCTACCTCTTCTCCTAAGGTCCCAATGACAAACTGAGGCAGAATCCCACCAGGGTTCATTCTGGGGAACCAAGGAATATATTGGACTTCCTTACAGAGCATAGGTGAGGAGTTACTTACAGGAGCGTGGGTAAGTGTCCCCCAACTGGCCACAACTGGAGGTCTTTGCCCAGCAGGCATGAGGGCTTCCCCATGACCACAAAAAATGCAGTATACATATATACAAAACACACACACACACACACACACACACACACACACACACTAGCTCCTCCTCCAGACTATGAGCCGAGTTGTCAGTTGGTACAGAGACAGTTGGATACTCAATCTAGGTCACAGGGTGTAGTCTGGAATTAGAAACCACAGTTGATAGTTGTAGCATGAATCTTAACAGGTCTTATTAATAAAATCAAACCTGAGGCCAGTTATTGGGGTGAATGCTGGAAGATCAGAGAAACAGAACAAGCCACAGCTACCTCACCTCGCCAGTTCCTCAGCTGACCCTGTTTCCTCAAACTGGAAGCATCTGTGTCCTCATCCCAATGGCTCTCAGCTGAACTGCTGCTTGAAAGCCTGAAGCTTAACCAGCTAAAAGCTTCTAGTTTCTGGTCCTCACACCTTATATATCTTTCTGCTTTCTGCCTCACTACCTGGGATTAAAGGCTCACTTTCTGAGATTAAAGGCATGAGTCACCATGCCTGGCTGTTTCCAATGTGGCCTTGAACTCACAGAGATCCAGAGGGATTTCTGCCTCTGGAATGCTAGGATTAAAGGCGTGTGCTACCACTGCCTAACCTCTATGTTTAATATTGTGGCTGTCCTATTCTCTGACCCCAGATAAGTTTATTAGTGTGCACAATATTTTGGAGAACACAATACCACCACAGATACTTGAACAGCATTTTAGCACGGCACCAGAAAGCTACTGGAAGGGCTTATTCATGTCCAGTTTGGAGTTGTTCTGACGAGTGGCACAGGAACTGCTTTGGAGAAAGGAATCTGGGTTCTCACCCCAGCTCTGTCGTTCACTCTCTGTACCCTAGGCCTGGTTCCCCAAGGATGCCATTTTCCCACCTTTAACTTAGACGATCTAGGTGAGTCCTTTGGTTTTTCTTCTCTGTGAAGTTCCATCCCATTCCACTCCCACCTCTCTATGCCCCCAAATGCATTCAAGAAAAGGCAGTAGAGAGTAGACGGGGTGCTTCTGATGCCTTTGAAGGATGCCTGTTGAATTCTCATGCCTTCTTTCCTTCCTCCTTAGGTATACAGTTTTGCACAGTGGGCATCACCAGGAACTGGAGAAATTGCCCATACACAATGACCCAGAGTCCCTGGAATCATGCTTTTGATTGAAGACCTGGCTTGCCATTTAGCCATTCATTCCCATTCATGTCTGCATGAACAGGATACCCTGGAAACACTCTTGACCCTGGTCATCACCAGTGAAGCTTGAAGTACGGGACACCAGGGCCCAGTGAAGGTACACAGAAGACGGTGTTCAGTGGAACCTGGACCCAGCACATCAAGGATTTCAGAATTGTGTGGGGACTTCAGACATCATCAGACCCAGCATCCTACCCAGAGCCCAAGTGGCACCACTCATTGCCTACTGACACAAGGTCGGTCTCTGCTCGCACCTCTCCAGGGACAGGAGCTCACTACCTCTGAACGCAGCCCCTTCTGTGGTGGGAATGAGCTAATTGTGTGGAAGTTCTGTCGTTTATCGGCACCCAAGTCTGTGGCTGCTCTAGCTTCTGTCAGGGCAGTGCTGTTGGTCTCCTCTTCCTCTCAGAAAGCCTTAGACATTGGAAGAAAATGACCTGCCACCCGCCCACCCCTCTCAGTCTTCTCTCTCAATGGAACATCTCCAGTTTCCTCTTCGCTCTGGCCATCTTCTGGACATGCTTTGCTAGGCTCGGGATGCCTGGCTAGAAGCACTCAAGTACTGACATGGAAGGTGTCAGGAATTTTGGCTTACAGCCATGAATATTTTCTTTTCCTTCCTTCTCTCCCTCCCTCCCTCCCTCCCTCTCTCCCTCCCTCCCTCCTTTCTTTCTTTCCTTCCTTCCTTCTTTCCTTCCTTTTTTCTTTCTTGATCATAGCATACTACTTGAGGTAACAGTTCCCCCTTGAGGCTAAATTGTAAAGATTCTGCTTAGGTTTTGCCTTTGGACCCATTACCAAGAGACCTCTATACAGCTAGTTTTGTGTGTGTGTGTGTGTGTGTGTGTGTGTGTGTGTGTGTGTGTGTGTTCACATATGCATGCATGTGTGTGTAAAGTTACCATTTTCCCCACTGGCATACTAGTGACTGTGTCACCTGGAATGAATCTTTATTTGCTCCCCCTCCATGACAGTGGACTAGGACCCCGACTGCTATGAACGTTGACAAAGAACAGTCTTACAACTCAAGAATCAAGGAGTGGGAGTCAGGGAGGAGCTAGAGAGATGGCTCAGTGTTCAAGAGAAGAGCACTTGTTGCTCTGGCAGAAGACCCAAGTTTGGCTCCCAGCATCCACATGGTGGCTCACAACCATCTGTTACTCCAGTTCCAGGGGATCCGGCACCACTACTGACTGCTCCAGGCTCCTGCACACACACACGATGCACATACATACACTCAGGCACACACACATACACACTCACATACTAAAACAAAACAAAACAAAACAAAACGTTAAGGGGGGAAACTGACTTGCTCCCATGGAGACTGCCTTTTAAGGATGATCAGGGTCCTGTGCTGAACAACCCAATGGTCTAGTCCTAGGCCATTTTCTGTTTTGAGCAAAGAACAAATCCATCTTTCTGTACTGGGAACTGTCATTGAACCCTGCCTTTGAAGCTACTGTGGTTCCATTTTACACACATTTTTGTAGAGTGTCGTTTGTTCCAAACCCCAAGATATGTTTTCTCTCCCATACTAAAGCTGTCACCACCTTCTTTGTCTTGGGCTAGTTATTTCTTCAAGAGAGAGAGAAGACTTGAGACTCACAAGCGTTTTCTTTTCTTTTCTTTCTGCGGACAAAGACCAGTTCGGTTCACTGCTGTGAAACAGAGGGAGCAGGGAAGCTGGACGTGTCCTGGCATCCCTGCCGTTTTAACTCCCCATCTTTCTCCCTCTTCTCTCTCCGGCCCTTCCACCCTCCTCCCTTCTTCTCCGTCTTACGCTTTTTTAGGACAGGGTTTTTCATAGCCCAGGCTGGCCTCAAACTCACTGTGTAGCTGAGGCTGGACTGAATTCCTGATCTTCCTACCTCCATCCTCCAAGTGTTGGGGCCTCAGGCTTGAGTCACCCTACAAGTTTCCCTTACCTTTCCACTTCCTGTGTCATACCTTCTTCCCCTCTGATGGCAGGTCACACTGGCCTCTTTGTCCCTGTTTAATCTATGAAGGAAGAACTCACTGGCCATCTTCCTTTCCCCCATCTTCAGATATGGTGAGAAGAATGGTCATCCCCCACAAAGGAATGAAGTGACCAATCGTCTAGGTTTAACATTGAAAGTCTCATACCCCAAGGCATTCCGCAGCCCTTGGCAAGTTAAGGATACTCACCATACTTACGGGACCCTTCTCTATTGAAAACCAGTAAACTCCTTGGATCTGAGTCCCTTTCTGTCTTTTCATGAAAAACTGAAGGAAGGGACCAGGGACAAGAAGACATGGTGATAAGCCAAATGCAAATCCATGAGATAAGAATGGATTCATTCTATCTGGAGAGCTGCTACACAGCATTAGTTCCACCCATGGCTTCCAGGAATCCAGACAACACAGCTTGAGTGTGGAAGACGCAGAAGATACACAGCAGTCCAGGCTTCAAGGAGACCTAAACTTGTCCTCTTCCTAAGAAGCTCCTCTGTCAGGAAGCCTGCTGTGGTAAGATGAGATGTTACTAGGGAAGAGGAGGCTGTGGTCCAGCTACTCTGGCCAGATGAACACTGGCAACCACTTGGATGTTTAATGAAGTCTGTTTCCATGCCAGGGATAAAGGGATTCACTGTGCTTTCTTTCCATTTGACTTTGCAGTCCATAGGAATGCCCAGTTCTGAAGATTCCACCTCATCTTGCTGGAAGCCAGAATGATCCAAGGCTCAGAGGTCCTGATGAAAGAAAAAAGGGAATGCTAGCTCTTTGCCCTTGCCTAGGAGCAGACTTGGCAAGGGCCAGCCTTGGCCTGGGCCTCAAAGGATTAAGATTTCAGTTCCTAGGAACCCAGCTTTCCCCTCTGAAGGGCTGTGGTTATCAGTCCTAAGGCAGCTGTGTCTGAGATATCCTGTGTTCTCTTGCCAACATTGTCTGATTTAGCTTTCTACTGACCTTGGCCATTCTCCCTCAGCAAGTAGGATATATAAAATGCTCTACTTCTTAAGAAGCTTGCTCGGCATAAGACATCGCTTGTGCAAGACCTGTCAACCCCAGCTTCCTACCTTCTCCTCTGGCCATCCCTCTTAGAATGCTGGCACTGAAGAACAACTGCTGGCCCAGGTCACGAACCCTCTCCATTAGCAACTAGAAAGTTAAAAGAAATAAAAACCTACAAGGTTTTGGCTAAAACAAACTAACAAAGCCAACTCGGAGATTTCAGCTTCACTGCTCACTAACATTTCCACTTCCTGCCGCCAACTTGCTCTGTCCTGAAACAAAGAACCATCTGGGAAATGGGGTAGGGTAGGGCATTGTGGGTAGGTGACAGAAGAGATTCAATGAGGCCAGAGAATGGAGACAACCAAATCACCTGTAATACAGTCTTCAAGTGGGGAGAAAATGTCTTCTTGGTGCTGTGCTATATCTAGCTATTTCTCTTTGGTATTGTGGCTCTCTTAGGTAAGAGATGGAAAGTGCTTTTCTTTTCCTCTACTACTTTGATTGGCTGTGGTCAAAATCTGCCCCAAAACACAGGGTCTAGGAGGAAATCAAAAATCAGTGCATTTGCCCCTTTTGGCCAAAAGTGTCCTCTTTGCACACAGTCTAGAAAACTAAGTCCTGATTTGAATGTGAACAACGTAGGGATGAACTTGAAGAGCTGGGTTCAGGCCCACTCTTGTTCTGGCCCTGAGCAGAACTTGCCTCACTCTATTCTTCTACAAAATGCAAATGGTCACTGAGCTGGCTGGATCTATGTGACGGTTCCAACATGGATAGTCAAGGGCCACTGTTACAAGTTTGGCTAAATACATGCTTTGCCTGCACTGTTAATTACATAATACCTTCATTTCACTTACAGAAATTTAGTTTAGAAGGAAACGGTTTATCAGATCCCAAATGGAAAATGAGTTTTATTTGCTGTAAATAGAAAGCAGCCATAGAGATAAACTAATAAAAATAAAACCGAACTACTAAATTCTAACCAGATGTCAACACTCAGAGCGTGTCCCCTGCCTCTGCATGTCCCAGGAAGACAAATGTGTCAGTGGAGTCCCCCTATCTCCTCTCTGGGAGAATTTAGAGAATGAATTCCAAACTATAGGAATTCATCAATTTAATACAAGTTCAGTTCCATGTTTTTGGAAATAAAGATGGAAGGGAAACAAAGTGCTTACTATTTTTATTAGTATTATACTTAATCCAGATTGTGTCTCCTCTCCTGCCTTTACTTTAGCTCCTTCTGAACTTCATGAGCAGTAACAGAACGAGAAGATAACTAACAAACACCTTTCTGCTGGACATTTGGTTAAGTGCTTTCCTTGGATTTTCTCATAAAAAAAAAAAACCCTTTACAAGTGCCAACATGACTCCCACTAAAAATGAGCAAACCTCAGCAGAGACATCATCTGGTGGCTGATCTGACAAGTATGGATGTGGGATGTAGGCCCAGGCCCCTTGATTCTAAAGCCCACCATCTGAAACACTCCCAGTGGCCTTCAATGCTAGGATGCCTTCACTCTACATTGACGTAGTGGGCCAGGGACAAGCTCTTTGTTCACATGGCCTAAGTACGGTCTCTCTCTTACCACCTTGGGACCCGGAGCTGTGCCTGTTCTGGTCTGAGCTCTGCCATTCACGTGCCCTCTTGTTTTTTCCTCTGGATGTCATGTCCATTAATTAAACGAGCCTTCCTGATGGTCCAGCAGGACGGCTCTCGAGTACCAGGGGAGCCCGAGGTTACTGAATAGTCAGCAGCAGACTGACAGGCAAGTGGATGAACCCTGAATATCGCAAACCATCATCAAGGCGCCCTGCAGAAGGCAATCTGAATTTGCCATACTTCTTGGTTGAATTTAAACTATTTGGCGCCAGCCCGATTTTCCTGGTATCTATCCACCACCGTAGGCACTTTACAATTGATCTGCCCTTTCACAAGGTCTCAGAGCCTCACAATAGCTAGCGGTGAGAGATTATCAGTTCAATTTTATAGACAAGACTTTGTCACAGCAAGTGACTTGCCCAAGGACGTGTGGCAGAAGATGGATGGAAAACACATTAGGTCCTCCTAACCTAGCACAGTGATTTTTTTTTTCCTTCTACATAAATTATGGTTTATATAAATGATGCATTTATGCAACTATTCCCATTATAAAAAGTCCCATAACACAGATAAAGTAAATACTCTTGACCCTAGCTCAGTCCCACTCCATTCCCAAGGCAGGTGGGGTTGGGGCGTTATCACTTGGCATATGTGATTCGGTAATTTGCGGTTTTGTTTGCTGTTGTTTATGACTAAGGTGATGCTGTATGTACTCTGCTACTGGCCTTTCAATTGTCAACCCCGCACATCACCTCACATCAATTCATGTGTGCTTCATGCTGCCAGCCTGGGAGAGCAGGCAATTCAATAGTTGACTGAATCCTGTGTCTTCCACATGGTCAGCAGGACTGGTTTCAGGATGAAGTGGCAGCTCAGATGTAGGGGTTGTCCTGTTGGCAGGAGCCAGTCCCAAAGTGGGTCTCACCTGACTTCCTTCCCCCTTGAGGGACTGTTTGGAGTCAGATTGATAAAACTCTGCTTCCAGTCATCCCTAAACACCTGCCTTTGACCAAGTTACCTAAACTGCTAACCTGGATGTTTAGCAAGCTTAGGAGGTATGATAACCAACTCCTCAAAAACGATGTCAAGTGTGACCTCCTTTCCAAGGCCTGGTTAGTTCTCAAAGACCGCTGCCCTAGGATACAGTCTAAGGGACATTATGGAAATATTAAGGAAAAAAAAAAACAGAAAATAAATTACAAAACACATACACACACACACACACACACACACACACACACACACACACACACAGAAGCAACCAGAAAACCAAACCAAACACTTTTATAATAAACCTGGGATTACACTGGGCGCTCCCACTGGGGACCCTCACCACTGCCTGGTGGGGGTGGGGAACTGTGACCACCTTACAAAGGAGGAAAGTTGAGGCTCCAGCACAGGGCTCTCCACCACAGACCACTGTCTCCTGGTCAGAGCTGTTGTCTGAGGAAGTTAGAATCTGAACCCAGGACTTCGGCCCCCATGTACAGAGTCACTTCAAGAATCATAGTGTCAGCTATCAGCCCCATATGCCTGGCAGCATGTGATACATGGTTCTTTCTGATTCTGACCCTCGGTCAGAGGTCATCTGTGAACTATTTAAGGCCTTGTAGAAACAGGCCATTGAACCACACAGCTGCTGGCATAACAGAATGGATGGGAAACTCCGTTCTCCATCAGGCGTTAATCAACTGGCTAAGATGTGATCTGTACGCCTTCAAAATGGTTTCTGCTTTTTAATGTCTGGGTTGAAATCCAAGAGTATTATTTTGTGATGTGAATATTATGTGGAATTCAAGTTTCTGTCTATCAATAAAGTTTTGTCGTAATATGGCCATCTTTGTGTACTGTTCATGGCTTTCACACATCCGAGGATGTCTATGGCCCACTGAGCACAAATTATTTACTGTCTAGCCCACACAGGTTGCTGGCCTTGCTCTAAGGCCACCACTACTGGCTTATTCATCTACATTTACTAAGTGTCTAGGAGAGTGTGCGGCTTCCCCTCTTGTGTCTTCAGCTGTCTACCTTCAGCACCTTTACAAATGATCTTAGGGCCCCTGTCCTATTTAATGACTCTGCAAGATCGGTAAACTGAGTAACATTAAAGAGCAGTGGCCTCCTGTGACCAGTATGAGCATTATTTAGATGAGGTTCTCGCTAGAGTGACAGGGGAAAACTACAGACAGGTTGATTCTTGCTGAGAACTGTAGGTTAATATTCTGCATTTGTTTTCTGCCTCTTACTGAGCAGTTATAACCTGAACAGTGAACTAAAAACAATGCAAGGAAAAAATGAACTAATTATATTTAAGATTTTTAAAACTCTTACGTGTCAAGAATTTTAAAAGCTGTGAAGTAAAGATGCTAGACACAGGCACCTATCATCCAAGAGTCCAGTGTTAGGGAACCTCGCCGGCACTCCCGCCTGTCTGTCATTAGTACATCAATACAGCTGGGATCGAAACCACAAATTCATGTCCTACCCAGTGAACACCAAGTCCTCATCAAGGATGACTGGTGTTTCCTTTCTTGGCCTTAATTAATCCCCAGAAAAGGGAAGGGGCTGTATAAATCCTTAAAGACCCGACACTTTCTACAGACCGTAATTCCCTTTGTCTTTAGACTTTGGCTTCCGAAGCCTGTTAAGGTCACTTATTTACCAAACAGCAAAGCCATTTGGTGATGCCCCCAAGAGTAAAGAGCACTGTCACTGTCAAAGGCGCAGCTTTAGCCCTGAGAGAAAAGCAGTTCCTCTGAAATAGCCCACACTCATTCTCCCAGCACTCTGTCGCAGCTCGGCATGCACTAGGCACGGATCTCCTGGCCTCATTTTCAAAAGGGATCAGCAGGTGGACACTGGTGCTGAGTCAGACACAGCTACACACTGCTTGTCTGTGAAGTATGTGCCGCTGTAAAATACGGTTTCGAGTCCATGGCAAGAATAACGTTTTTACTAAATGTTTATTTTTATGGTTCAAGATAAAGCATATACACAATTGAGTGAGGAAATAAATAACTAGAAATGCTCTGAAAACTTTCTATTTGCCCTTCAAATTCATTTTTTTAAGTTTGTGAATCTTTTCATTTAAAGAAAGACACCAAATAATGACACTAAGCAAACAAGAGGCCCGTCACAGTACAGAACCAGTCTTCTCTGACGGAGGGTTAGCTGGCATTATACTAACACACACACAAGACACAGCACTCTTCAGCACCGACTCAGACAGCTCTGCTGGGGAAGAGAAAGGCACAGACCGAAGGGACAATGGTGAGTAGCAGAGTAAATGAGCTCAGTCACATGACACCGAGAACTGAGGAAAAGTGAACAAAATCAATGCTCAAATGACTTGCCTTCATTCAAGTGACTTCTTTAAATTAAGATGTACAAACATAGGATATAAAGACGTTACTTTTGGAAGTGTCTTTGTATATTTCTTCTATATATAAATCTTTGTATACAATTTCCATGTTCCTTATTTATTTCCTATATAACAAACTGAGCCAGGGCCTCCCAATTCCAAGCCCAAAGTTCCTGTGTAGCCTCTTGGCCGCTTTGGGCCAGAAGAGCCAGGGAAGGTCTCTTTAAATGTAGTCATCTTCTACTGGCTCTCCGTTGACATCACAGTAGTGGATAAAAATGGCCACCACTCGCTGAAACACACCCCTCTTCATCTGGCGCATCTCTGAGATCTCCTCTCCTATTGTCTCCATACAGATGTCTGCAGACAGCTGTCCTTTCCTTCGAGGAGCATAGATGGTACCTGGGAAAGGAGAGAGACCAGAGACTTAGAATGAACCACATGGTCCATTTCCTGGACCATATGTAGCTGATGCAAGGATGGCTTCTAGAATCTGTCTTCGTTTTATATCAGATATGATGTCTAAGATAGCAGACATGATCAAAATCTCCAGGGGGAAAATAATGTACCAAGGAGTAAATTATGCTAAGTACAAGTAGTTAAGAAAATTCACTTCTTCATAAATATTTATTTCAGTTTTACCTATAAGTGAATATACAAATATGTTAAAACTTAGAAAACTTTCATTAAAAGCTTCCCCTGAAATTTCTACACTTAAATCACAATTAAGCTGCAGTGTCATAACAATACTTCTAAGAAGCAGGCAACTAATCGGTACAACTGAACAATTCTGAAATGGCATGTCTGTAAATTCTTCAGTAAAGATCAATGAGTTTGTCAGGCATGTGGCACATGCCAAATGGAATCCTGGCAACTTGGACTAGGCACTCAGGGCCAGACTTGCTACACAGACAACTGGAGGCAAGCTCGGGCTCCATGAGAATCTTTCTCAAAAAGCAAAATTCTAAATGGTTTTGTAACTGGCTGTCATGTTTTCCATTAGGTCCTGAGTTAAATCTCCAGCATATACACATATGTACCACAAAACAAAACAATCAAATGAGTAGGAAACCGGAAGGAATTCCCACCGTGCGGACACATGAGATGCACTGTGCATCTGCTGTACCAACTCAGAGCTGGGACCTTTTCAGAAGAGATGCTAAAAACGTTTATGGAAAACAAACCAAACTCTGTAATGTCCCTAGTTCGCAAACAAAATATTAACTATTTAACACAGTAAGGCAGACTCAGTCTAGAAAATACAAGTTAAATCAGGTCATAGTTACTCTCTTCGTCATCTTCAAAATCATATCTGGCAAAGCTGTTGGGCTCTGCTGCCCGCAGTGACCTCAGCCAAGGGAAGTCAGAAATCATGGAATACGGCGCTCCATCCACAACACCTGAAATAAGTGGACCGTGGGAAAGTCCCGTTAGTGCAGAAAAGCTGACAGCAGCACACTCTAACTAAGCACTTCCGGCCGGGTACAGAGACTGGGCCAGCGGCCTTCAGAGTCACTTCTAACCATCCCAAGTCTTCCTTTTTATCTACCTTCTGTGTGTCAACAATTCTGATTATTCTAGGGATGGTAAAGACACAGCCAGGCCACTACTCACCCAGCTTCTGCCTCTTGTGGAGATTCAAACCTCTCACTAATTTGATGATCTCCATATCTCTCCTAAGGCATGCCCCGCCCTCATCTAGGTACATTCTTACCCTCTAATGTGTAGATTTCTCTCCCCCAGGGATACTTAGGGTACTTCTTTAAATCCTCTTCAGTTCGAGTGGCTTCCAGGAAGAATTCATATTTAATGAGTTCTCTGGAGGCAAGAGGAAAAAATCAAGTAAATACACAACTGGAAAGGACTGCTGGGCAGAAAGCGACTGTGACTCCTCAAGCTTATTGTCCAGCAACCATCTCAAGCAGAGCGACAACTCTGACATCACCAGTCACTCCACTAAAGAGCTACATTCGTTAGTAGCTTTCAAATCATGCTGAGGAAAGAAAAAGGAAATCTCTGAGCAAATACCTTGTATATTGAGGGTAATTAGTACAATGTTTATAAGATTAAAATCAAACATAATTTTCTGTAAAGTGAAGCATTAGCCTCAAGACTGTCATTAACTTGTTTTTCCATCCTCTATGTCTGAAGAAGTAACATACCTATGCAGTTCTTTACCATTTTTTTTCTCTAAGTTTGAATAAAACGCTACATAAATAAATGCATGATCTTAAGTTTGAAATTTTCTTTCATCAGTTTTTTTTACATGTTTATGTCATGACAAGTTAAGTCTACCTAAAAGCTCAACTGGAATCATTTAAAATAAATTAGGATTTGCTCCTAGGAGCACTCAATAGGAGGACTATGACAAAGGACTTTGGGGGCCACGGAGTCACTTACTGATTGATATTGGCTATTGTGTCCATCCAGTTCCGAATGCGCACCTTGTTCCGAACGTTGGGAGGATTACTGAACTCGTGGATGATACAAATGTGATAGGGGTAGGGGCCACTGAACAGCTTCTGCTCCAAAGTTAGTGTATCTACCTGTGGAAGACACCAGAAAAACATCTTTGGACTACTATCAGGTCTGAGACATCTGAGGACCTTAAAAAGCTTCAGTTTTGAAATGCTTGGCTGACTTGGAAATCAAACACTAGCTCTGCCCCAGAGCACAGCTTGCCATGTTTGGATTAAGACGCAGCCAATTCTCTGCAGAGCAGACTTGGCAATCCCTCCTGCACTGCTCTCTAGGTACCCGCTAAGTCAGAGGCCTCAGGTAACTGATCTCCGTCAACTCCACGTCTTCCGAGGATGCCCCTCAGAGGTTTCGCTACAGGCTGCATTACAGAACTGAGTGCACAGAACTGTTCTATGAGAACAGTTGCTAAGTTTTATGGGCAACGCGTTTCTCTCCTCCTTGTAGATTCTGGATTGAGAGTACATTCTCGTGGGTGCCCTTCCCATCTCGAGCTTTGCAGTATCTTCCTGCTTTCAGGGGAACATGAGTTTAACTCCTTCACGAAAAGAACTTCCTTAAGGAAGAAAAACATTGTCTAGTTTTAAGTATAGCCAGTTTTGAGTATTAATACACTTACAAATTTGATGAACTTACTTCAGAGTCTAGGTATTATTTAATATTTTGTTTTAGCAACAAGCATCATTCTACATATGCACTTAACTTTCAATAGTCATTACAGCTACCATGCTATTGCTTAAGGTATACCAGCAACTGTCCTAGTATATCATACATATTAGTTAAAACAGCACAAAAATTTAAGTATACTATGATTCTAATTTTACACTTAAGAAATTAAGAGGGAAAAGAGCTTGCTCTATGTTAAAGGAGACTCTGAACAGGAAGTCTGTGATCTGAGTGCATGCTCTTAGTCAACAGGCAACTTCTAGCCTGTCGAAGGAGTCCAGTGTAACTGCTAAGAATCCCTAAGAGCTGGGAGAAAAGCATTATCAAGCAAT